AATTAGGAAGAGAACACTAGAATATGGATGACCAGTCCAGTGATCTATTCATGACACATTGTTCCCTCCAAGATCAAAGAACAGAAACCGGAAATACTGACTCCAGCCCCCCTTCGGTTTGGTAGCACAGACCCTAGTGCCTCCAACTTGGGGGCAGTTGGAAATGAGGAGATAAGGCCATGCAACCAAGAGATCACTAGATGACAAGAGCTGGGTCTATATCCCAGAAGTCTTGACTCTCAGCCTCACTGCCCCCTGCTCCGCCCCCCTCAGCTTCTACCTCAATCCACTAGCTCCCACTCCCTCCTGCATGAAAAAACTCTACTGAGAGGTTTTACAATGTGCAATGGATGAAATCTCTGTTTTCTTCTCCTGGGGGGGGGCTGCAAATCTGAGGAGAATAGCCCAGGTGGAGTCTGCCCAGATCTGGACAAAGGGAGACAGCCCATACCCCATGCTCAGAAATATGTCTGCACACACCATTCAAGATGACATTGGTGTTTCTGGAATTGCTCCCTGTCCCCTATTCCTGGGGAACTGGCTTCAATCAGTTCATTTGGGGCTCACTGAAACCCTCCCGGCCCTGCGGCATAATAGCAGCTGTCCCTGCTGTTACGGAGATTGACATGGGGCAAAGACTCTCACAAGCTATTTGCAGCATTCCCTAGCTGGAGCCAGCAGAGGAACGATCTTCTCCATTTGCAACAGAGTCAGTGCAGCGCAGGGCAATGGTGCAAAATTCAGCACACTTACCTTGCACATCCCCGTAGACCTCATAATCCAAGGTCCAGAGTCCTGAGGAAGCCATGGCACGGCATGGACAAGTGTGAAGGGCTGCAGATGGGAAGCTGGTGGGAGTGAAAGCGAGTTTGCAGCACAGCGTAGTTGTTATGTGATCTGCTGCAAGCAGCACTCTCTCTGGCCTGTTACTAAATTGAGCCCTCTTTAGACAGTGAGGAAAGAGCAGACCACACTACTCTTGCCACCCCCACCCCTGCACCCAGCCAGGGCAACTTTCTCCCGTTGCACTCACAAATACCACAGCCAACCCCTCCTCCTCCATACTCAGCACCATCTTCTTGGCTTCCCCCCTTCCAGCTCCTTTACATCCATGCTAGAACCCCCCCTGCAATGCCCACTCACCCCAGTTCTAACCTGCCTCCCACTCACCAGACCCAACACCAGTGTCGGTACCAGACACTGGCAGGAGCACTGGGTTCTCCTCCTGGGTTGGCCACTGGCTGGCTGCTTGGACAAGTCACTTCCCCTCATTGTGCCTCAATTTCCCCATCTGTAAAGTGAAGCTAATGATACTGCCCTCTTTTATAAAGCACAGTATAAGTGCCAGGTATCCCTCATATTCAGTCTAGGGGTAACCCCATCCTGCAACACTGGCATCTATCCCAGCAGCAGTGCCAGCTCCCTCCCACCTATTTCAGACCTGCCCTATGCTGCCCCTCCTGGATTTCAATTGCCCTTGGAAAGCTGGGAGGACTGGGCAATTTGGGGGGAGGGGAGGATGTGTGTGTGGTGAGTGAGAGGCGTGGGGTCTGGGGTGGAGCTGGGCATTAGGGTCTGGAGTGGAATAAATTGGAAGATTGGTCCTGGAGACTGGGAAGGCTGGGGGGCAAGGCTGGGAGTGACTGGGGTTGGGCTGAGGGCAGGGACATGGAGGTTCAGTGAAGGGATGGGACTGGATTAGGGTAGGGAGCTGGGGACTAGCTGCGGGGGCTGGGAGCTGGGGAGATTCAGTGAAGGGATGGGACTGGATTAGGGTAGGGAGCTGGGGACTAGCTGCGGGGGGGGGGAGCGTTTAAGTGAGATTAACAAGTAACATGATTCCAAGAGCCGGGCCTTCCTGGAAAACACCAAAAATAATGAGACTTGCAATACAGTTGCGATAGCTGAAACCCATGAGAGCTGTACCT